AATATTTACTCATGGGTGGGGCAAGTTCTTCTATTCTGGTTCACCAGAGGAGTTGTAATAAAAGATGAAGAATATTGAGAAAGAGATGAGTGACAACAATGAACACTGGAATCCAATTGCTTCTCTTCTCTTCCAGTAACACTAGATTCCTTCATTGGATTCTTGAGTGACTGGTAACCAGACAGAGTGGCAGAGTTTTCCTTTTTTGAAGGGGTATCAAGTCTAGAAGTTTCCAGGAAGCTGCCTCTTGGGGTATCCAAAGGCAACTTTAACCTCTTATCCTTTGAAATTGGGGAAACTGTCGATATTTGTTGTTCAAATGCTTTTCGGTATAATGAGAGAAGATAGTGTTCCAGATGTACAACTTCCAACTCTAGCACCGCAATTTCCTTAATTATCTCTGTGGCTGGCTGGAATTGGATGAATGTAGCTTGTGAATATAAGGCAAGAAACAAGCCAAAAAGCTAGAGTCCTAAGATCAACATAAGCATCATATATAAATCCCAAAGCCAAATGCAGAGGAAAGTGAAATGCAACTGCAAATCAATAAAAGGAGGCACATTTATCAGACCTTACAGTAAATGCACTCCAGTTTTTAAGTGTACACTTCCTTAACTACTACTATCATATCTGACTAATTAGGCTCGGCTGCTTGGATATATTTTAGTAAAACTGACAATCTTCAGGAAAAAATTTGGTAAATACTTAAAGGAAATAACGTATACTCCATAAAATAAGGATGTAAAGGAATTACCTTTGGCATGGAGACGTCATTTGTGTTATGATGAACAGATGTTCTATAACCCAATGCCTTTTCTAAAGCAACACGGACATCAAACTGCTCTTGTAATCTTTTCTCAAGCTGTAAAATCTGCATAAACAAGAACTTAATCAATCATAAGCTGGGCTCTAAACCTCAACTTTCCATGAAAAAGTTGAACCTAGGACGTGCAAATAATATTATAAAACATAAGTGAAGTTATGAACATGCGTATTTCCAACCTCTTGCTTCAAAGAACTTTGGACCCTAGTGTTGGGGGATTTTTTCTTCTTGACTCTCTCAGTATCCGTCAAGTGGCCAGTATCCTGATATCGGTGAAATCCAGAATCAGAATTTGGAAATTGCATGAAAAATCATTCTAAACTCAGTTCCTGGACAAGCACTCTGTCATGGATGCATATATTCATTAATCTCACTTGAGGTACTCAAACTCAGCTCAACAGTGCCTTATATTCCGTTTTTGGATTCAGTAACATCTATCATGTTCTCATTCAACTTCAGCAGGATCCTTGGGCCAATAAGGTTGATTCATACTGGAAGTTGTCTATAATTTATATGGGAAAGAAGAGAAATACAAAGGGGTTGCAATAGTAAAGTTTTGGCCAGCATGATGTTAGAGGCCCTTAAACAAAATGCTAAAAAGGGAGTTGACTTACCAGCTTTAGCCGAGGTGATTCCTCCGGTGGACTGCACAATCTATCTTCCTCAATTTTTTTCTTATCCGGGAAGCTGCCATGGCATAAGGTAAAACACAAAGAATCAACAGAAAGACTATGAAGAAGAAGGGTTTTGAGAAATCCCATTCCCTTCAAAAGTACTAGATTGAACCCTGAACTACTTTCTTTTCCCATCTGCCAATTATTTCTACTACAAAAAATAAGTAGAGCCATGGTATATACACTCACCGTCGACCAGTGGTCCACTTAGCTAGAGTCTTTCCTAACCCCATCTCATTAATTACAGGCGATACCAAAATGAGAAAAACATTAAAAAAAAATGACAGATCACAAGCAGAGACCTAACAGGTTTCAAGCCTAAAAGTTTCTAATGTACTTGTTTCTAAGAATTCGAGTTTGGCATGAGCTTCATTCACTGACAAAACCTAAGGAATAAAGCCAAAAGCAAAGGAGAGAGAGTAGGTATAATATTGCCATACTCGTTTCTTGTGAATCACATTATTGAGCAGCAACAGATGCCCCAAATTTCCGGTTTTTTTAATAACCCATCACAGAAGGTTCTTTCCATTTTCAGAAAATCATACCAAACCAGCTTACAGAAGTATGAGAAGAATCATAGCAAAATAAAAAACTCTGATAGCTACCTCTTTGAACGCTTGTGTCTCAGGGTCGTTCTCAATCCCAGCATTGTACCCCCTTCACGTGCTTCAGATCCCATTTCTGGGAATCATCACAAACAGAGGTAGGTTTAGTGAGACAAAAACATTTTCCAAAAGGAAGAAAGCATAGAAGAAATGTTACCAAGCAGCCTGATGGACAAGAAGATTAACAATTTAGAGTCCAGTAGCCTCCTTCAGTTGTCTTTTTTACATTGGAGCAACACAGAGCTTTCAGGAATTGCCAAACAAACGATCATTTGCTTGCTGCTAAGAAAAAGAGTAGACTTTTTGGGGTTTTGACTGGAAAGCAGCCTTCTCTTTGGTGTAAGTAAACCAGTTGTTTGTTTATAAAGGAGTATTCTTTTTGCATTAAAAGGAGGAAACAAGCTCGTGGGTCTTCAATGGAACAAGAATATTGCCTTAATATTCGTTCATTCATTCATGTTATTGTTAGCAAGTAGTAAAGGCGTAGAATGTTGAATGTAAAAATGTGCAAAAGTTGACAACTTAAGAGTTTGTTTGGATGATAATTTAATAATAATGATATGATTTTATTCTGTTTGTTTGCATTTCTAAATATATGATATAAATTTTTGGTAGTTAGATCATAGTTATTAAAATTATAATTTTTAAAATTAATAAAACATTATCGATTATTTTTTTTCATTATATTTTTAAATTTTTTTTCGTATTTACTAATATTATTTTTTTTTCTTTAACATATTTAAGATTTATCTTTTTTTTTTCTTTTAAACCCAACGCATAGTCGCACATCGCAAACCATCTTCATCTTCAGCTTCTCTTGTTCGATTAGGTAAGGGCCATTGATTTCTCTCTTCATTTTTTCGGCTTCTCTTGTTCGATCAGGTAAGGGTCTCTAATTTCTCTCTTCATTTTTTATTTCTGTTTCTAGTTTATTATCTCAGTTGATATGTATATTTTATTTTATTGTATATATATATTTATACGTTTAAATATATATATTTATATATTCAATTAAATTTATATACTTATATTTTTAATTATATGCATATATATAATTTATTTAATTATATTAATTTTATTGTATTTATATATATTTATATATTTAATTATATATATTGTATTATATATATACATAAATTTATATATTTAATTATATATAAATATGTATTTATATTTTTAATTATATATATAATTTATTTAATTATATAGAATTTATTGTATCTATAAATATTTATATATTTATAATATTTTAATCATAAATATACATGTATGTAGTATTTTAATTGTATATATATATGTGTGTGTGTGTATAGTGATTAGTAAGATCACCATTTCCAATTTCTTTTCTCTTGCTGTGAAGCAAGTGGGAGTTGGTGACCATCCATCCGCCTATCCTTTGTCTCTAACTTTTCTACATGGACTCCTCTGGGAGTATCTGTGTATTATTATTGTACAGCCTAAAATATAAGGATAGTGACGCTTATATTATTAGGGTTATGCAAATTTTACAAAATTAAATAAATATATTTTACATTTGCTTTTTAAGAGTTTGTAAGATTGACGAAGTTATAAACTTTGTTCATTTGCAAAATGTAAATAAAAAAAAAAAAAAAAAAAAAAAAAAAGGAAAGTGGAAAAGTAAAAATTGGTTAACATGGAGAAAGATTAAAAGACAAACACTGGATGCCAGAAGGTAATGAAAATTTGTTTTTATAATAATAAAAATCTCCCTTTTAGGAAAGTAATTAGATTGATACCAAATTGTCCTTGACTGCCAAGAAGACTAACGTTTGTCAATGAATCCACATAATTAAATAACATTTCTTTTAGGGTTTTTACAAAGGGAAAAAGCAACCCTTCCCTACACTCTTTCTATTTCTTTTCTTTTTGTCATCAACGAGAGAGAGAAAAAAAAAAAAAAGGTTTCCTTTTACAGAGCTAACAGCCAAACAAGACCCAAGAGACAGAGATAAGTGGGGGGTTTTTTTTTTTAATTGAAATATATTATT